ATTCACACACACACACACACCACATACATAACACACTCACATACAATACACACAACTCTCACACACTACACATTCACACACACACACACACACCACACACCATACACACCACACACTCACACGTACCACACACATTCACACACACATACCACAGACATCTACACCACAGACTCACACACTCACAAACCACACATACACACACACTCATATACACACACGGGTCAGGTATATATGTGTGCATTGCACACACACACAGGTCTACACAGATGGCTCAGTAGTTAGGGGCACTTGCTCCTCTAGCAGCGGGCAGGGACTCCGTTCCCAGCACCTGTGTGGTGGCCCACAGGAGCTGACACCCTCGTCCGCTCTCATGGGGCAACACGCAAGCTCATGGCACACAAACATACATGCAGGCAAAGCGTTCACACACGTAAAAAAAAAAAAAGCAAGTTAAGTGAATGTTTCTAAAACACACATACTGTCTTACAATCTTCAACAGAACCTGGCCACCTAGTGTGGGGGGGGAGCATGAGAGTGGCGCCTTCCCTGAGTGAGCCTGAAGCACAAGCCCCTCCCCTGCCCTCCCCCACCTTTCTTCCCTCCCTCCCTTCTCTTCCTGCTCCGTGGCCTGCCTCTTCTCTGTCCTATTGCAGTAAACGACGCTGTGATAGGAGAATGTGCTCTCTTCTGAAATAATTGAGCCGTGCAAATGCATCCAGGCAAACATCATTAACAGGGCCTCAGCCACCTGCCGTTTTCACGCCACTGAGCATAGAGCCTGGCCAGTCCGTTATCTCCTATGGAAGACTGTATAGAGCAGCCATTTCCAGGGAGACCTTCAGGGGGTCCTCCTTGGAGTCAGGGCAAGCCCCTCACTCTGCTCTCAGTCTTCAAGGGCAAGAAGGCCCGTGGAAGGAGTCTATGGAAGCCAGAGCTGCGCCTCTTGAAACAAGCATTTGGCCCCAGTTCAGGGGGCGGTGACGCCCAATGAGGGCCCCAGGCCAGAGACCTGGGGGGATTTAGGTGGTGTGAAGGAAGAAAGCTACCTCACACCATCCCTTCCAGCTGGGGAAGGAAGGAGAACCACCCTGCCAGCAGCACCCCGGGGACACCTCCTTTCCCTCTGGCTTCAGCGTCTCCATGTAGAGAGAAGGGGAATGGAATCTCACAGTTGGCTCACCTGCCCAGGCTCCAAGCAGCGTCTACACCCAGGACAGGATGGGCCGTGGCTGAAGCTGTGAGAAATAATCACGCCTGTGGGCTGGTGTAGGGAATGGGGGAGGGGCAAGGGGCATTGCTCCACAGACAGAGAAGGCAAAAGCACTACACCCAAATGTGAGGTCACAGGGGAAAGAGATGGACTCAGAGATGGAGATGCAAACAAAGGGAGGCGCAGATGGTGGACTGGCAGAGAGACAGAGGCCCAAATTTGTGCACCTATGCAGAGACAATGCGAGACAGATAGGACCAGAGACATCAAGGGAGAGACAAAGAGAAGGACCCCACCCAACACAAAGGCCAACTGAAGAGGTGGGACACCTCCAGAAAAGCCTGACAATGGGAAGCCCCTGCTGTCATCGGCTCCCAGTGTCTCGTCTGCTGTGGGGACTCATTGTGTTGACAGAAGTGTTTATTACATCCTTATCATGATCTCGGAGCACTATAAAGTCCTACGATAAACTGCCAGCTTCCTGAGCAGTCCTTGACAGTGGGTGCACGGCTGTAAATCTCAGGGCACCAGCCCAAAGGAATATTACACAGCCATCAAAGGCGATAATTATGAAGACTATGCCTGCAGAGGAAATTGCTGACAGCAAGACTTTGGAGCTGGTAGGACACGGGATTTATCTGCACTGTGAGCCCGACAAAAAGAAGCTGGTGTCTATGGGTCTGTGAGAAAGAATGGGGACAATTCCTCCTGGTTTCCAGGGAGGAATTTTCTCATCCTTTTATCTTCCTTCATCCCTGTGTGTACGGCTTGTGCCATAAATAACGTCTTTCTTATCATAGGGCCATGTTCCAGTAAATGAGGTCTTCAGCTCAAGTCTCTCGCTCTGATTCCCACCCACGAACACACCATCCAGCCAAAGAGACTGAGGGGCCCACGTGGGACTCACAGCCTCCCAGAACTGAGAGGGTAAGGCTGCACAGCCCAAAACACTGGCTTGGGAGACATGGGTTGCTGCTGGGAGTAGGGAGAGACACAGGACCCAGAAGGGAAGGCAGATCCCTGTCCTTGATCTCAAGATATCTTCTGCCTCTGGAACTCTGGAGAAGATATGGCTGGGAACTGGATAGGCGACAGGAAAATGGTCCCATTTTGAAGGGTTTGGGTTTTGCCAAAGCACCGGGCATGGCAAAGCACAGCCAACAGCACAGAAAGGATCACAAAGGGCTACAGGGCAGCTCTAATCTGCACCAAGCCAGTGGCCACAGCATGGGAGCAGCATGAGAGGACAAAGGGCTAACAATCAGGCTGAAGAAGTTGGAGGAACAGCAGAGGATGCTGGATGGAAATGGAGGGGGGAGAAGGGCAGGGGGGGGGGGGCAGCCATGGATGGCTACAGAGCTGGTTAACTTAGGGAAAAGGATATGAGAGCAAGAGGAGGGAAGACACAGCTGGCAGAGGCTGCTAACAACCCAGAGCAGGCGTAGGCAAGAAGACGGGTGAGAGGAAGGGGTCAAGGAGCAGGAGAGGGGTTCCAAGCAGGAGGGGGCCCAGACCTGTGGCCCTGAGCTTGCTGCCAGGTCAAGGAAGAGGCATAGATATGCCAGGCTTACCTTAGCACAGGAAGCTGTGGGTGGAGCCAGGCAGGCCCTCCAGGGCGACTCATCAAGCTGGGCACTGTCCAATGCCCTGCCAGGGGCAACTTAGAAACGGCCCTGGCTTCCCTGTGCTCTGTCCCACAAACAGCCTGCTGTCCCATATCATTGTTGATGAAGACTCCAAGATTCACAGGACCTGATGCCCCAGGGTGACTGGAGCAGGGCAGGAGGGTAGTGCCTGGGCATGTAGCCTGTGAGTGCTGCCTTCCTCCACCTGCCAGACACCTGAAGAGCAACCTAGGTGAAGGGAGGACAACCTAGGTGTCCTATATGTCACATAGGACAGACCCCACCTGCAGGCTGGCCACAGCCTTGATCAGCTGTGGTCACTGCCTTAGCCTGGGGCCCCACTGGAAGGAGCTTACAGACTCTGGCCCCCAAACCAAGGACCCCTGTGTCCCAGATTCCCCTTACAATCCTTACTGGGGTCTGAACAATAGCCTGGCGTCTGGACCAGTGTATGGGAGTTGCAAGGAGTGGGGTGGGGTGCAGTTACTGTCAGAGAAGAGGGCCCAAAAGTCTCTGAGGCTGCATGGCCAGGTCTGAGTTGCCTGGGAACCCCTGCCCAAGAGGCTGTGTCAGAGGCCCAGTGTGTCTCAGGCCAAGCACAGGGTGCGGGGCAGTTGTTTGAGCTCTGTACCCAGCACCTGCCATTTGTATCTCTGCCCACTGGGCTCTCAATGCCTGAGCCTTGTGGCCTCTGGACAGTATTCCCAGGGGTCGGAGTGACTGTGTGTAGGCTGCCTTCAGTTGGTGGCGTTATCTTTGACACCCTTCGCGTACTGCTGTCAGTTCTCCGGGTGTGGAGAACTTCCCTCAGAACCCCCAGAGAGGCACATCCTGGGCTGAAGTGTGAGCCTCCAGGTGCTGAGCTCACTCACAGCTGCCTAGGCTTCATTCCACGGAGCAGCAGTGTAGGAACCGGGGAAGGCTGATGGTCTCCCGAGGTCTCCGCACCCTCCTCTGGTCCCCCGCAGTAGATCCTCTGCACTAAGCCCAGAGGACTCAGCAGATGCCACAGCCCGGGATGCCAGTCTTAAGCAGGAAGGGCTCACACTCGTTTGTTCTCCATCCCTACCCTAGGATGGTGACAGGAAACGCCCCCCCTCCATCTTGAGACCCAGAAGGCAAGAGTATGGGTGTCATGGGGCTGAGCCACAGAGAACTTCAAGGCACGTGCGGTTCCGAGAGCCCCTGGAGGTGGCTGTCCACTGTAAGAGGGCCCAGGGGCTCTGACGTGAGGGTCTGGGTGGAATGGGTGGGCAGGTGCCTTTTCAGCTTTGGCATGGTCCAGGACCATCCCATCCTTATTCTGCCTTTCCAGACAGAGCCCCAGGAAACCTGTAAATGGGGCCGTGAGGATGGGCCACGGCCGGTGGGACAGCAGCCAACAGGGGAGAGTGCAGCAGTGGCCTGTCCATCACCATCCTCTAGGGAGGGGCCAGGTTCTGGGTATCCCCTCACCCAGGCCAGGCCAGGCTTGTCTCAGGACCTTTGTACAGTGGAGTGGTAGAGCTTGCTTCCTGACTAAACCATCTGTGGTCTCCTTCCTAGACATTGCCCGCAAGGACTCCACAGCCTCCATCAAGGGTGAGTTGTGAGAAGGTGCCCCCATCTGCCAATGGGTCCCAGGCCTCCATCTCCACGGAGCAGAGCCAGACACAGCCTTAGCCACACCCCTGCCCCCACATCCCCAGTCACTCTAGACCCTGGCTCAGTCTCCCCTGACTGCCCCAAAAGTGACCCATCCCCACAGGCTCCTCACATGTAGATGGGCAGCAGTACCCCAAATGGGTGCTAGCATCCTTAGACAGGTGAGGGCAGGAGTGTGTGTCCTGTGGATGCCATAAGACTCAACCCAGGAGCCCACCTGACCATCACCTTGATGGCCAACTACAAGTCAACAACCAGACAACTCAAGTCTCCCTCCCCATCAGTCCCACCAGCAGAGGGTGCACCTCACAGGGCCCGACTGGGGAGCTGCCTGGGCTGACCTGTCCCCTCCTACAGAGCCCCGCCGCCGGCCAGCTTTCCCTGGTGGTCATCTGCTCCGGCCAGCATCCTGCAGTGGCTCCCTATTCCTGTGGCTGACTCTGTGTGTTCTGCTGGGAGTGGTACTGGGCCTGTGCTGTGGCCAGGCCACACATGTCACGGAAGCCCTGGAGGACCTCTGGGCTCGGCTCCTCGTCCTCATCTCCCGCCTGTGGCGTGTGGTCCGTGCCTGTTAGCACTGCCTCCTGCAGCTCTGACACGTAGCTGAATGGCAAGTTCGCCTGTGGGCAAAGCTGGAGGATGGTGCTGTTGGGAGCCCTAGTGGCTGGGGGGATTGTGCATGGTGGGGGATCCCAGTAGCTAAGGCTAACCCCAGGACAGAGCTCTGCTGGCTTCAAGAGGCTGCTGTAGAGGTTTAAGTGGGAAGGGGATTGCCTCTGGCTTGACTCTACAGGCACCTCCTACTCCAACCAGCACAGGCTGGGATCTTAGGATTTTAAGATTGTTATCAGAGAAAGAACTCAACCATCAGAGCTGGGGAGTCCTGTGCTCCCGCCCTGTCCTCCCTCTTGGGACACCGGGACCAGATGCTGCCACACACAGTCCTTTGAGCATCACCGGCACCCGAGGGGAGGTCTGGGAAGGCAAGCTCCAACCTCCTGCTGCTTTGAGGGCTGGCAACACTTTCTGCCACACCACTGGAAGGCTTCCCTCTGAAGTTCATGGAGCCCCATGGGTACCAGGGTCCTACATCCTCTGAGCCCATATCTAATTGCTCCACCTATGCCAGGATCTGTCAGGGGTCACTGTGGGAGCAGAGCTCAGCTCTGAACAGTATCCTGCTTCCAGGGCCACAGATAAGCCCGAGGCCAACAGGGCTGCCCGCCAGTCGCAGGGTGTCTGAGTCTCCTTTACCTGTGTAGACACAGTTCTGTCACCCATTGTTGCAAGGTCACGGAGGGCAAACACATAGTACCAAACCTTAGGACACCCTAGAGCTGCCTGGAGGGGGAGTCCTGAGCACAGCAAGGAAGCCTGTGAGACACCAGGAGGATCCACCCGGGAGGGGGCCTACACACCCTAGAACAAACATCTGATCAAGGTTTGGGAGCCAGAGTGAGACCTGTCGCTCTCCTTTCAAGGGTCCCCCTACGTGGGCAGACACAGATCCCACAGTAAAATACCTGCAGCTTCCTCAGCCTCAGGATCATTTCAGAAATGAGCGACGCATGACAGCTGCTGAGTAATCCCTACAGGGCTGAGCATGTTCATCTAGAGACCAGAGCACAGCCCTCCACCCACTCACCCCCACAGCCCACAGGCCCCACAAGAAGCTGGGGACCCACCATGCCTCCAGGACCACATTCTCCCCAGCTAGACATGCTGGAATTCCCAGATCATGGAGGTGCCACCTGCCCCTCTCTGGCCTTCAGGTACCCACCACAGTCATCTCCAGCTACAAAGTTTGGGGGCACAGTAGAGGAGAGCCCAGAGGAGCAAAGCCCTGTTTTCAGGAGTGGTCTAAATTAGACCAACCTGGAAAGCCACTCACCACAGTTACTGTTGCCTGCACCAGCCCCAGGACGTGTTCCATCCCCTCCCACCCTGGTAACAGACAGGCTCTCTATTGGCCTGTGTTCTGGATACAGAAATAGGCACTAAGAGATGACCTGGAAGTCCTCCTTTCCACCCCTGCTTCTGATGTGAACACTCTCTGAGAAGGGGTTTGGTCACTTCGTGTTTTATAACAGAGAGCTGGGGCTTTCCACCTCACAGCCAGCATTTGCTGCAAAGGCCCACAGCTCTGTTGGGTCACAGAACTCGACCCCAGCTAGTTTGGGCTTTCATTTTGCTTTGTTTCATTTTTACAGGGCAAACCCAGCACAGCTCGGCAAACGGCGTGCCACTGTGCCACAGCCCCAGGCCTGTTTTGTTTTATAATAAATGCTCAAAGACATAGACAGAGATACGTGTGCCCTGGAGATGTCACCAAACCCCATCCTCTTGCCTGGGAGATGGTGTAGGAACAGCAGGGGGGTGGGGAAAGCTATGAGAGTCAAACTCCTTAAAATGCACAAGCATGAAGGACTGTCCCGTGAGCACCTGGAACCAGACTGTTTAAATTATAAACAAACAGCTAAAGCCTGCAAGCCAGGGAGGAGGGAGAAAGGGCCAGAGGTGGGCGCCTGGAGTGGACTGGCTGGCTAGCAAAGGCACAAACAACTATCCATACAGCATCTCAGATGTTTCGTCTTTATTTTATTTTGGCTTGAGAATCAGACACATGGAGGCTTAGGACTCCTCACTGTCAGATTTACCAGGAAGGCTGAAACAAGGGCTGCCCTGTGACAAGGTAGAAAGAGCAACCGCATCTTGTTGGCAACCTGGGTACCACTCTGCAGCCTCTGCCTGACTCTTGCCATCCATCCCATGAGACTTCCTGGACAGACACCCCTGCCCATGGCTACAGCCAACAGGTCTTGCCAGTACCCTTAGGCAGAGTTCCTTACCCAGGAGTCCCTGGGACATTGGCACCGGGGAAACAAGACCGGGCCTCTGTAGGTGAATGAAGATTTCCAGACTGGACCAAGCCCCCAGACCAACAATCCAGAATCCCTAAGCGGCAGCTGCCAAGGGCAGGCCCATACTCGAGGCAGATCTTAGGTCCCAGAGGCTGCAGCCTGGTTCCTATTCCTTCAGGTCCTAGATGGCTACAGCCTTAGTAGGGATGTGAGGCAGAAGATGTGGAGAGAGCCGATCCTGGGGAAACAAAGGGAGTCTCAAGGCTAGACAGTTTTCCCATGTCCCATAGATTAGGGCTGATGTGAGGGTCTGGAAACTAGGTCTGTTCGGAGACCTCAAAATATTCCTCCAGCACCCAGATCCCCTGCAAAGCTCAGCCAGACACAGCCAAAGCCCTCAGAAAAGGTTGCTGTGCTGGTCAGCCTGGCCCTGGCCTCCCAGATAGATAGGCCCTCTCTTGTTCAGCATCCTGACCTTCTTTGCTAGCCCTGCTGACTGCCCCCCCCCCAACAGGCCTCTCACAGAAGCCTGGGTCCACACCTTTGGGAAGCTGGTACCTTCCACCTGGAAACACATCAGCCACTGGTGGACCCTGCATCACGTTGCCTGGAAACGGAGGACAAAGATGTAGCACAACTCCAGACTAGGACCAGGACCACTGAATGCACTCACTAAGATCCAGATGGGCTGGGCCTCTTCCACTGTGGGGGCCTCACCCCTGAAACACAGAGGGCCATGCCACCTCGAAAGCCTCCAAGGCAGGAGAATGCCATGAGCAAGCACCCCCAGATGTCCATAGAGCAGGGAACAGAGCCCAGCCCAGGGTCTCACATTCCTACCAGGACTCTCCACCTGCTGCCATCTGGGGGGGGGGGGGGAAACGGGGCAGTGCTTGCTGTGGACCTTGGCCAAGGATGCTGTAGGGTGGGAAGACAGGCCCTTCCAGGGTGGGGTGGGGACCTGGGTGTGTGGGAGCCTTTGGTGGTACAGAGGCTGCTAATCTATCGCCATCATCTCTGCTCTGTAGGCACACTCCCACCCACACACATGCTCACATACGTGCACATATATGGGCAAATGATCACCCAGAGGGGTATGGATCACACTAAGCAAGGCCAGGCCAGGAAGCCAGAAGGCACACACACACCCAAGTCTCTGGGTCTCTGTGCCATCCCTGTCAGGCTCTCCATGGAAACACAGGTTCTCTGCTCATGGTGGGCAAGGCCAAGAGACACGCATGCAGAGAGCTGCGCTGGCCAACCTGGGTGGGCCCCCGGCCACCCCTCGGTGCCAGCCTCGGGGAAGGGGGCCATCCTTGCACAGCCTAGATGACAGCACTCTTCTCCCCCTGGAAGGAGGTGCGGGAGGCTGGCCTGGCCAGCAGCAGCTCCTTCTCGTGAACCAGGCTGTCCAACAGGTCTTCCTGGCGGTAGTTGTGATAAACCTTCAGGAAAGCCAGGGTGGTGATCGCCAGCCAGGCCAGCCACGAGGCCCACAGTCCAAACTGTATGGAGAGTTGACAGTGTCAGAGAGGGGCAGGTGGCTCCCTGCCCGGTGTGCGCTCTACCCACCTCCTTGATCTATCTCTGCAGGGAGGGGGGGCACACTAAGGAGGCTGCAGGGGCCTGGGAGCACAGGTCTGGGCACCTACATTTGGCTTATTACTCTGCAGACACCGTTACATCCAATACCCGTGAGAACCCAGGTTTGTGCAGAGCTTGGGGTACTCGGCCATTCTCACCTAACTGGTGGGGTTCCTGGAGGAGGGGCAGGACCTGGGTAGTGTTTTCTTCCCACCATGACTCACTGGTCTCTAAGGAGTGCCTATAGATCAGGGAGGCCCTCCAGTCAGGGGAATAAATTGACCTTTTTCTGCTGTTTCCAAACAGCTGAAGGAGAAACAATGTAATCAGCTCCAGGTCTGCACTGCATCAAACCAATTCTCATTAGAGCATGCTCGTCCTCAGACTGCGGATGCCTCTGTCTAATTGGTCCAAATTAGTCCTAAAGCATCTTAAGCTAAAGTTAGCGTGAAGGTCTCTTTGACCATTTCAGCTCATCTCAGCAAAGAACTTTGGACTTCCAAGGGCTTTGGGCACTGACAAAAATCGTCTTCCTGGCTTTTGACAAACCAGAACCTCCAGAAGCGGTCCAGAGCAAGGAAGGACGCCATGGAGGGTAAAATTCCACACTGTGTGGGAAAGGACAGGCGCCCATGCCCCACCTAAGTGTCCCTAGCCTACCCCGCCTCTGTCTGGAACACAAATGCAGACATCAAGGGACAGGGAGACCCTAGAGCTTTCTCCAGGGCCCTCAACTACCAATGTGTCCCCATAGTCTAAAAGTTGCATGAAAGGTAGGGCAAGGCGGGGCTGGGATCTTCCTAGGGCAGGCTCCCCACTTCACCCTCAGAGCTGCACATGCTCAGGGTCGACCAGTCCCTGAATGGAACCAGAGCAGAATCTGAACTCTGTCCCGCTGGCAGCCACAGATTCTATGCCCCATTTCCAGCCCCCCCCCCCTCCAGGCACCAAGCACTTTCCACTTTCTGGCTTCTGAGCTCACTCCTCATGGCTGCCCATGCCTTCGCTTCTGCCCCCCCACCCCCACTGCCCCCCACACAGGCCTGCTCTCCTCAGAGACCCAGCTCTCCTCCTCCCCCAGGGAGGCCTCCCGCTCCCACAGCCCTCCCTGGCATGGCCACATCTGAGTCTGTTTCTTTGCCTGGGATCAGAAGTCTGTTCTGTCTGTCGTGGTCCCCAGCCCTGCCTCCAACATCCACTTCTCTTGCTACCTGGGCACCACCTGGACCCCACCTACCTGGGCGATAGCAAACTGATGGTAGAAGGCAGAGTTGTCCACATTCAGCTCCAAGTCCACTTCCTGGAACTTCTCGCAGCTAAAAGAACAGGAAGCCAAGTGGCCGGTGACTTGTGAGCCCCTAAGCCCCTGAGCCAAAAGCAGCCGAGTGACGGCTAGGGAGCAGAGGATACCACGGCAAAGCAGTGAGCTGTATTTTATGTCAACCCAACACAAGCTAAAGTCATCTGAGGGGAGGGAACCCCAACTGAGAAAATGTTCCACAAAATCAGGATGCAGACAAGCCTATACGGCATTTTCTTAATTGGTGATTGATGTGGGAGGGCCCAGCCCATTGTGGGTGGGGCTACACCTGGGCTGGTGGTCCTGGTTCTGTAAGAAAGCAGGCTGAGCAGGCTATGAGGAACACTCCAGGAAGCAGCACCCACCCATGGCCTCTGCATCAGTTCCTGCCTGTAGGCTCCTCCCTGCTTGGCTCCCTTCCTGACTTCCTTTTCTAATGAAGAGCAATGTGGAAGTGTAAGCCAAGAAACCCATCCCTCCCCAAGTTGCTTTGGTCTCGGTGTTTTGTCACAGCAAAAGGCAGAGGAGGCCATCCACAAGGGATGGATGCCTCTAGGAACTCCACTGGGGGTCAGCTTTGACCCTTCTTTAGATGGAGCCAGACAGGCTTCAAGGAAGAGGCACTACCGGCCTCTCAACTGGCCCTGAGCACCAGGGCCAGCCTCAGCTGCCTTGTCACTGCCTGTCTGGCACTCTGGGTCATAGGCTGCTCTGTCTACTCCTTCAGTTCCCCAGTCTGAGATGGAGGTGATGTTCCCAGGCACCTTGCACAGTGGCCCTGCACACGTGTCTTGGGAGCACCATGAGGGCAGCCTCCACTCACCAACCACAGACCAACCCCCACTGCCACACAGGGCAGCAGGAGCTGAAACTAGCAAGCGAGGCAGGCAGTGTCAACTATAAAGTCCTGTCTCTTGGCTCTCAAGGACCTTTCATGTGTGATGCTGTGGGCAATTAGGCCAGAGAAAGAGGTTCTTGACATTGACTGGGTGGGTCTTCGGTGGGCAAAGCGTCAGATTCGGAATGGGATTCCAGAAGGAAAACATCTTGGGACCCAGGTAGTGAGTGGGTCTTCTAAGGAGGGGGCTGGCGGAGCAGGGCCCAGGCATACCTGTGTTGTGCAGTGCCCTTCTCGGTGATGGTGTCACACCACATGGTGAAGCCCACACTCACGATGGTGCTGGCGATGAAGACCAGGAAAACCACAAAGGCACTGACCAGCAGGTTCAGGAAGGCGTGGAAGAAGGAGCTGAAGTGGAGTCAAGAGAGAGATTCTGGGGCAGACACTCAGAGTTCGACCCCCGGTAGCTCCTCTTGGACCAAGGAAGGGGGTGTGCAGGCTTCCTGGTGAGCACCTGGGGCCCCGATGGGACTAAATGGGGCTCCAGGGACCTGCTTCCCCTCCTCCACTGCCATTCCCTGAAAATGTTCCAATGCTGAGCAGCCATCTTCTCTCACAGACTTGGAGCTGGGGCCTTGCCACCACGGCTGTACTGGGGAATTGGACTCATGAGTCGCCAGGCCTAGGAGCCAGCACATACAGTGAAAATGCAAGGCGCCCTTCTAAGGCCACCCACTCGCACAGTCACTCTGTGTTACAGCTATGGATCTGTGTCCCTTCAAAGACACAGGCTGAAATCCCAAACCCCACAGTGTGAGCACCAGGCCTCTAAGCCCTCAGCAGAGAAGGGCATGAGGAAGATGAAAAGACTCCTTCCCCCATTCCCTCTACTGCCTGGGGACTAGAGGCAGCCTGGCTCCAGGTCACATGTTCACCCGGCCACACTTCCCCAGCCAGGGAGAGGGAACACATGGGAGATATCAACCCACCACAGTCTCCAGGACCACCCACCTATGGGAGGTCCACAGCACAGAGCAGGGCAGCCAGTAAAGGGCCCTGCCCACCTCCAGCCTGTGGTTGGTTTGATACTAGGTCCAGGCCAGTTGTGCTCAGATTCTAAACAAAATGACAAAAAATGGCCTCACAGTGGGCAACTGACAGGTGAGATTTAAAAAAAAAAAAATGGTTGCTATGACCTAACATAGGTGGTGGGCTTGCTCACCTACACATTCATTCCACAAGCCTTTCTGACTTGTGCTGGACATGGAGGAAGGGCTAAGACATAGGACCAGTGTTGGAAGCACTTGACATCTCCCAGGATCACACAGGGCTGCCTGTGAAGCCACCCAGTCCGGGTGACACGGTAGTCACGGCATGAAGGGCAGGCAGGCAAAGAGTGGTACCCTGCTGAAGCTGCACAGCCCGCTGCCTGTGAGCAGCTCTGTGCACTGCACACTTACCCTGAGCCTGGCCCAGGCTCCTCACAACACACACGGCAGTCCTTGGCCCTGCCTGCCTGACACTTACACTGGTTTTCCTTTTAACGCCCCCTCCTTACCCAGAGGCTGGAACCAGGGCAGGTAGGGACAGAGACATTGAATAAAGGACTTCAGTATTGTTGCTTCAGGCTAGTGTGTCTCCACAGCATCCCTAGGTCCTGGCCAGGAGTGGTGACAAGGACACTGTGTTCCTGTGATGGTTAGGGGTTTTTTGTTTGTTTGTTTTGTTTTCTGTTTTTTGTTTTTCTTGTTGTTGTTCTGTCTTTTTCTGTTTTTTTGTAACTTGACCCAAACTAGGGTCATCTGGGAAGAGGGAACCTCAACTGAGAAAACACCACCGCCAAACTGGCCTGTAGGCAAATCTCTACAGCATTTTCTTGGTTAATGATGGGTATGCAGAACTCAGCCTGTGCCGGACAGTGCCACCCCCAGGCAGGTGACCCTGTGTTTAAAAAAAGCAGACTGAGCAAGCCATGGGAAACAAGCCAGTAAGCAGTGTCCCTCCATGGAGTTTTTTTCAGTTCCTGCCTCCATGTTCCTGTCTGGAGTTCCCACTTCCTTTCATGATGGATGAACCAACATCTGTAAAATGAAATCAATCCATTCCTCTGAGCCTCGCTTTCTCCCTCTGGGTTGTGTACTAAGAGACCCTCCCATGGATCACTGCAAGATGGGGTGGGTGGAGCTAATGTGGGTGAAGGACTGGGAGCACGGTGCCACGTACACTGGAGTGCTCGCTGACCACCCCACACTGTCCCGGGGCAGACCTGGACTAGGCTGAGAAGGACCCACTGCCCTCGCAGGTCCTCGGTGAGCTCACCTACAGCTGTATACAGGTACAAAATGGGTGTAATTGCCAGGAACGCAGGGTGTAGAGTGCAGAGCTAGACACCTAGAGACTAAAGCTGGGGTCCTACCATGCCCATCCACAAAGAGAAAGGACAGCTCAGCCCGCTGGAACTCTCCTCTCCAGCAGCCTCTGAATAGAGGATATCAGGGTGCTCATCCAGAGCCCATTCTGGGGGTGCTGTTCCCACCAAGGAAAACGGGGTAATCAAGGGCAGCCAGAGCCAAGCCCTCACAGGCGGAGACAAGGACACAGGCTATCCAGGCACAATCTCTTGGGACAGCTGAGGAGTTTGGACAGTACCCCTCCCAGGGGACATCTGTCCCTCCACCTGGTGGACAGCCTCCTGCAGTCTTTCCAAGGTCCCTCCCTGCCCAGCAGCAATGTTCTCAGTGGCTGACACTCCCTGACAGAGCATCTTACCTATTGACCTTCACTGCTGGCCATGGGGCAGACAGCAAGGAGAGACCAGCCACAACCCAGCATCGCTTCCTGTCCCTCTGAGAGGGGGTAGGGCAGCATTCTGAGATCTCTAGATAATGTACCCCTTTAGGGTGGGGTGTCCTGGTGGCCCAGGTCCCTGAGAAGATCTAGCACAGCAGATCTGAAACATGGAAGCTCTGGTCCCAGCTGCCAGCCCACTAAGTTGGGCACCACCAGCCAAGAGTCTCTAGCTCCTCTCTGTTTTTGTTTGGGTTTTGGTTTTGTTTGTTTTTTTGTTGTTGGTGGTGGTGGTTGGTTGGTTGGTTAGTCAGTTGGCTTGGTGTTTGGTGAGGATGTTTTGTTTTGTTTTGGACATGCTGGGCGTTCAGATCTACTTGATGTGCCCAAAACCATAACTGGATCCTGTTTCCTGGGCTTAGAATGCCACCCTTCCCTGTCCCTGAACACACATTCCAAGAACAGGCCCACACAGGACAGTGGGTGGAGAGGCACAGCACACACAGAGTTAATCCATCTTCCTCTCTCTCACTGCATCTCAGGGTGCCCAGCCTTGGATGTGCTGTCTCCATGGCGACAGTTATCCTGGGAAGCCCTGGGAGCAATCTGAAGGCTGAGCGACAGGTGTGAGCAGGCAGAGCCAGTACTTGGTGCCCCGCACTCACGGAGTGCTACCAAACCAGCACAAAGGGCTGCTCTTGAGCAAGGCCTCAGGCTCACCACTCACCGGGGCCCTCCCATCTCCCCGAGAGCACATCCCTGAAACTATAGGTGCCAGAGAGCATTCACTGAACTGGTTCACCTCTCTCTGCCATGCTGCCCTGATTTCTGCCTCTCTATACCCCTATGCCTGAGCAGCCAGAGTCCACTTAGCATGGCAGACATAAGCCATAGGGGATCAAGATGGTTCCTCTGCCATAGCATATGGCCCTCATACTCAGCCAAGAGAGGCCCTGAAGAGACTATAGGGTAGCACTCTGCCATCAGTGACCTCGGAGGCTGGCACCTAATTTCAGAATCAGAGAATGCCTGCAGCATAACCAGTGAAGCCCTGTAAACCAGGGACTGGCAAGCTTGGTACCCTCCAGACTGGAGAGCCCTCAGCCCTACAAGCCCTTGTCTACCACACGAGCTCACTGTAAATGCCTGTCCTGCCCCCTCGAGACTCCCAAGTGCCCACTGATTACCTGGCACTTGCTCACCTGCTCTATGCACTGGTGCCTGTGCTGGAGTCACTGCTCTCTACAAGGCACCTTAACCACCACTGGCCTCTGCAGACCCATCCTTTCGGGGGGGGAGGGGCCAGGACTGAAGGGCTGACTCACTCTTGGCCAGGGCATGACTCCCAATCACAACAGGGCAAAATGTGGCCACAAAAATCGCAAACCTCGAGGTTCAGACACTTCCCCGTCTCTCTTCATTGTGTGGTGACTCCCACACCCAGTCTCTATGCTTGGCCTGAGGACGCAGACTAAACGCATGCCTGCACTGGTCTCATGCCCCTGGGTGTGATGGGGATCCACGGCTGGGGGTGGCTCGCCACAGCCGTGCCCCAGGCCCACAACCTGGACTCTGCTGAGTACTGACAGCATAGTTGGCTGCTGCCACCTGGACTCTACAGAGGACAGGGTAACGGACAGTCGGCCACATGGCCCCTGACAGTGACTGGTAACTGAGCAGGACTCTATCTGTCAGATGTCCCTGAACAAGGCTGGACATAGTCATGCTAGTCTATAGACACTTGAACAGAAGTCATGCATGGTGAAAACCAGGTGAGCACCAGGAGCTGAGGCAGAGGACAAGAGACCCCAGTTGCTCTACAAGAGAGAGTGTAGAGATGCCTAGACCTGGCCTCTGGTGTGTGGGAAAGACCATGCTAGTTCTTCTCAAAATGTCATGGTGAGCCAAGTCACCTACAGTCTTCTAAGTCCTGCCATAGGCCTCAGCTGAGCATGTACGGAAGGCCAGGGTACCTGCTTGTATGTCCGTCAGCCTGAACCTTTCCTCAGGAGGGCAAGCACAAGAAAGGAGTCCCAGATGGCTGGAAACTCCAGGCCTCACCTTTCTGTCTTTAATATGGGCTTGTGGTGGCCACTTCCCTGGGCAGACGAACAGCCACAGTGACAAAAGGAAGAAGCTGGTGCACCCTGGGTCTGCAACCTGATTGCTGTGCTCTGTGCTACCAAGATGCCCGCCTGCATGATCACGGGCTCTTCACGTCCTCATCTTGTGCCCCAGCCTCTGGTGTTCATGAACACAGACCACACGTTCGGGTCCTCCCTACAGAGCTGCCCTCGGGTCCACCGAGCTGGACCATGTGCACTGTGGTCCCATAGGGAGTCCCAGAAGGCCAGAGTCTGGGTCTGAGCTGTCACATCATGCCCCGACCTTCCCACTGACCACTGCCATGTGTCCTGTCTCAGGGTGCCCCCAACTGCCCCAAGCTGTACACAGGGGGTGACTCCCAGGTTGGCGACAAGAGCATCATCCAAACAACGAAAGACTAGAGGTCAAGGAGGGGTCCTGAAGAGGGACAAGACTCTGTCCTCCAGCTGACATGGGCTCACCCTGACAGAACCCCAGCCCCAGAGCCAAGAGTTTGGCCCACATCACTTGGAAGCTCTTGGCACCATCCCTGGCTTCCAACAGGCTCCCACTGACACCTTAGCATAGTGAGCTAAACAATAGCTCTTCAAAGCCAGATCCAAGTCCTAACCTTGGTTTCCATGGACAAGATACGTTGTCTGTCTTGTCTTCTCTCAGGAGAAGCAAGGACAGAAAGAGGTAAGAGGCTATTCAAGGACAGAGGCAGAGATGGGAATGCTCTAGGCCCACAGCAAGGAACACGCAGGAGTAGAAGTATAGGAAGGACCATTCCCAGGGACTAAGGACACTTTGATTCTGGACTTTCAGCCTCTGGCATGGCGAGAGTGTTAAGTGTTTCAGGTTCCTCATCCATGGTACTAGCAAGAACCCTCTTCACCCAAACTCCTGCATCGTCGCAGCATCGGAGCCCTGTTCTCATCACCCATCCCCCTGCAAGGGGTGAGGAGCTACTTGGGACACAGTGGGATGGGACACAGGCTGGGGAGGGCTGGATATGGGAATTCCCTCTCCACGCAGGAAACTGTCACTCCAGGGCCCAGGAAGCCTCAGCGATGAGCAGGGAGGGAGTGGGGAGGGGGTGCTCTTGGTTGCTGCTGGCTGAGGACACCAGGTGGCCACATTTTCCACTGGCTCCAGCCAAGTGAAAAGCAGGAAAGGGTGAAGAAACTCTGCAGGTGCTGAGGCCACACAGCAGGACCTACCCCCCCCCCCCCCCCCCCACACACACACACACACTGCATGTCTCCCAGCCAAGGCCGAGTCCCTGTGGTGAGCTTAAGGAGCCCTCCAGACATTCTCCATCATTTTTTCCCAAGATAAGGTTTCGGGAATTGAAGACTATCACCTCTTCCCACAGGTGGTTCCTTCCCCCATCCACAGAAGTGGGGTGTAGACCCAAGACTGCTAAAACGGTCCCAGGTCCCAGGGAGTGTGGCCTAGCTGCGCCAGAGAGCCCAGGCCTGCAGCCATGACAGTGCAACACAGTACCCCAAAGGGGTCAGGGCCAGAAGCTGAAGTGATGCTCTCTCTGGGAAAAGAAGGGGGTCGTGTGGGTCGGAGAGACGGCATTATGGCCCCTGGGCCTGTGTGTAGACAAAGGGCAGTCTGCTTGGAAGTGGTGAGGTCTCTGACACTTGCAGGCCTCTGCAGCCTGAGAGGTGGAGGAACTCATTCCTCTTCCCCCCCCCCCCGGCGAGGGGAGGGCCTGGTGGGCCGCCAGGAGCTGTGTGAGTGTTGTCAGTCTGCGCTGGGCTGCTGTGAGGCCTCTACTTACCCCTCATGTCCCTTGCAGAGGAAGAAGAGCGTGCGCCATGCGTGCGCAGCGGCCAGCAGCAGCGACAGGAGGCTGGCGAGCAGGCTGAAGCGGCAGGCAGCCGGCGGGCCCCACTCCTGCACCGTGAAGCGCTCCCGTCCTTGCATCGTCAGGTTGGCGCTCAGCCACATACCCTCGGTAAAGAGCAGGCAGCGGCCACGGAAGTCGTGGCCGTTCTCGGACAACGGCACCACCACCACGAAGCTGAACAGGAAGGCCAGAAAGTAGCAAACGCACTGCGCGAAGAGGAAATTGTTGAGCGCCATGGCGGTGCCAGGATGAGAGGAGCCGCCCCAGAGGCCGCGGGCCGGGGATGTGACCGCTCCGGGAGCCGGGCTGCGGGTCTCGGGCGCCGCGCAGGCCTGGCCCGAGCCGCGTGGGAGGCTGCGCAGTGCCGGCGCCCGCGAGTCTCTCGCGTTGCGCGCAGACGCGTGCGCACCGGCCGAACGTGGGGCGCGCCTGCGGTCAGCACCGCGGACAGCTCCCGCGGCGGCGCGGGACAAGGCCAGAGTGCTTTGCTGGAGATGGGCCATGGGAACCTGGCAGGGGGCGCGGGCGTTACTAAATCAGGTTAGGCAGACCCGAATTTGTCAGGAAAGGTACCAGCAGCTAGAGGCTAAGGAGGAGAAGGATGGAGACGAATTTGCAGTCCAGATCTGGGTGACTCCTTTGCCAAGGCCTTTGTATGCCTTAAAGCCTGGAGGAGGGAGGCAGACAGTGAAGGAGTCAGGTCAGTAGGAATGGGACAGAAAATAGAGACGGTTTAAGTATTCCCAGGCTGGAGCAGGCCTGTGAACTGTGTTCCGAGAACCATGTCCTCTACCCCACGGTGGGGCCCTCCAGTCTGTGTTTGTAAGATAAATAATGGTTGCCCTGGGCACCTCATTAAGACCTCTTTGCTGTGATGAAGCTGCTGGTGCATTAATTAATACAATTAATGGCTTTCCTAGTTTCCCTTAACACCAAGTAACCGTTAGTCCAATCCCCAGAATGAGCAAGCCCTGGAGCCCTCTTTCTGGATACAGATTACATCAGCTTTTTTTTTTTTTTTTTTTTTTTTTTTTTTTTTAGCTGTAGGCACTAAAAATCTTTTTGTTTTATTACCGAAGTAATATGCACTCGCTTTTTTTTATTACAAGGAGGACTATGTGTAATATGAAGATACCAAGTTCCTCTTTCCTCCACCATTTCACACGGTCACTTACCCAGGCGTTTTGCACACATAGGCACGCACAATTTACAAAGGTGCTTCTCACAATACGGGTGTCCACGGGTGTCTCTTTCCTCCGACGGTGTGCGGTGGGCATCATTCCCTGTCTGCACCAGCAGGCCGGTGGTATTCGTTTTAGTAATTGTGTGATATTCCATCACAGCACCTGTTCCGTGGTGTGAGTGACTGTCCCTCTCGGGGGGAGGGGCACTGGATGTCCCCAGTGTCTGCTGTGTCCAGCTCTGCTGTGTGAAATCGTGGTGTCTGCGTCTGTGTCTGTGCGGTCATGCAAGTGGCATAGGAGTCTTACGAAGACTCGAAGGAATGACTGGGTCGTGAGGTTTGAGCATCTGAAGTGATGTTGGCAGGAACCGGCAGACTCACCTCACAACACTGGAGAAAATCTGCATGCCCGCATTGCAGGTCCTTCTCCCACGCAGGGCTTTCAGTCTGCTCGGTCTTCCGTGGGAAGGGAGGCTCATCCACTCGTAACTTGTCTTCTGCTTGTCGCTGGAGGTCACTATCCCCTCACACTCGTTACCCTTCATTTTCAGCCTCCGCACAGAGAAAAATTCACTGCGCAATCTCTTGAGCAACCATATAAAAGAACAGCTGCACGGTCTCCGTCGGCTACCCTTTTCTCAGAGGATTCACCAGTGTTTCCTCTGCTGTCAAGTCCCCCAATCCAAGCCTGGGGGATCAGTTGGGAAGTTTAACCTGCCCCAACATGAACAAAAGTCCTATCCATTCATCAGCACTTGAAAGTTTTGACCAAATTTTGTTAAAAGACCCTGACATTTGAGAGGGAAACACATTGAGTCAGAGGGGTGACTAAATACCAGCATCTGAAAGGGACAGGCTCTGTCTGGCGCTGTTGTATATAAGTTCCACTTAAACTCAAAAAAAAAAAAAAAAATCGGGCTGGAGAGATGTCCAGCGGTTAAGAGCAGTGGCTCCTCTTCCGGAGGACTTGGGTTTGATCCCAGCACCGATATGGTGGAGCACAATCGCGTGCAACTCCAGCTCTGGAAGATCCGGTTCTCTCTTCGGACCTCCATAAGCATCAGGCATGGAAGCATTGCACAGATGTGGGCGCAAGATGCCCACACACATAAGGAAAATAATAAAATTTTAATTTAAAAAATCAGAGATTCCCTTGGCAATGGTGTTAGTTCAGATTCTCCAGAGAAACAGAACCAACAGGATATGTATATACACAAATGTGTGTGATACGAAGCCAGTGCATGTGTGTGTCCTTTTCGACAGAGCAGAGGTGCTATTTTAGGAGTTATTGCACATGGCTGTGGAAGCTGGAAAGCTCACAGTTTGCAGGGTTCGCTGGAAAATTGGGGACCAAGATGAGATCTAATGCTTTGGTTCAATCTCAAAGTTATTCTGATGTGGAATCCCCTCTTTCCCCAAGTAGACCAGGTTTTTCTATATAGACCTTTAACTGATGGAATGAGGCCCACTCACAGCTTGGAGGGAAAACAGCTTCACCCAACTGACTTAAATGCCAACTTTATCCAAAAAGTATTCCCATAAAAGCTTCCTGAGTAATGTTTAGCCACATGTCTGGACACCCTGTCTAACTAATTTAACCCATAAAATGAACCACCTAATTTCTGAAATAATTTCAATCTATAGAAACTATAGAAAACTTCACAATTCTTTTTTTTTTTTTTTTTTTTTTTTTTTTTTTTTTTTTTTTTTTGACAAGGTCTCTTCATTCCTTTTTGAATGACCTGAAATTTACTATATAGACAAGGCTGGTCTTGAACTCATAGAGATCCACCTGCCTCTGCTTCTTGAGTGCTATTATCAAAGATGTGGACCGCTGCGCCCCATTCTCAGAATTCATTTTTAAAAGCCAATATTACATTAATGAAATATTACCTTATTGGAATTGTGTGGGAAATAAATAATAGAAGATTGCATTTACAAATATTGATGCCAATTGAAAGAAGACAGTAAACTGAATAGTAAATTTATGGATAAGTAATAGTAAAATATGGGTGAGTAAAATATATCCTACAAATGCAAGAAGAACTAAGTTTATCAGCCAATAAAGGAAAGAGCCTGCATTCTCTGTCAAGGCCTATCCAAAAGCTATTGTGTATCACTGTGTATCCCTTTCCAAGTCTTCAATTCTGTGTAGAAATAGAAGCAAAGTACCAGACTATGATAATCTGCCTTTAAGACATCAAGTTTGTGCCTGTTCAGATAAAAAAAAAGACAGGAATGCGCACTGCCACAGCTATTGTTGACGGCTTGCTTGATGATTCTACCTAGTGAACGGAGACAAGAAAGCAACATTCATAGTGTATCCATGGAAACAAGAGAAATTATCTTTACTGGAAGATAATGTGACTTTACACCAAGAACTCTCAAGCTATTCTACTCCAATAATTAGAATTTTCAAGAAGATTTTGTAAGATGCTTGGATACAAAGCAAACATACAAAATGCAATAGCCTTTCTCTAAATGAGCGAGTGAGTTGTGTTTCCTGGGAAACAGACAGAGGACCCCAGGCAGCACCATGGTGGTGGTGCCTGGTACAGGCCCAGCCTGAGGGGTCAGTTGTGAGGTAGCTGTGACAGGCCCACTCCTTTCTCTTTGGCCCTTGCCTGTGTCCAGCTAGTAGTTCTTGGTTGAAAATGACTCAGGTTCAGAAACCAGACAAGAGTGCCACAGTGTCTGACAGGGGCCAGTGCAGGCCGCCCTTGGGCTCACCCAAATCCTCTGTATAAGAAAAACAGAGGGGCAGTGCCCACGTGTGCTCTAGAGATGCCGCTGGGCCGCCCATCTCCTTGCTCCCTGTGCCATCATTCTGACCTTCCTCGCACTTTGTGGCTCCTTTGGGGGTGCCTGGGCCCTCTTTGCACCTGAGACTTGGGTGCCCCCACCCTGCACTTCCAGGGGTGCCACTGGGACTCTTGGTGGCACAGGTGTCTTTCCTTGGTTCAGCCACACAGATCTAGCAAGTAGTCTCTGCGGCCACTCTCGTGGGACAAAGGCCTTGGCTGGATGTTCCAAGGCCAGTGCACATCTCCTGCCTGAGCTCTTGGTCTCCTCCCCAGCCTGCCTGGGCCTTTCTGGCATCTCCAGCTCCCTCAGGGTAGACCCTCTATCTCCCAAGCTCCTCAGAGATAGCAACACTCATTTTCTCTTGTTGTCACCACAAATCGCAGCAGACCGAGTAGCTTGGACGACACAGACTTATCCCCTGACACTCTGGAGCACAGAATCTAAACTCAGGTTATGCCTTCCTTCTGGACGTTTTAGGGGAGAATTGTCCTTACCTTTTCCAGTTTCTAGATACGTGGTTCTTGACCCTCTAGCTCCATCTGCAAAGCCAACAGTGACTGCTCATGTCCTTCTCGGTGGTCCTCTGCAGGGGAAAAGTAGCCTGTGCAGATGTTAGGTCCGCCAGGATGCCCCTACCTGCAAGGTCCCTAGGTTTCCTTGTAGAGCCAGGCCAGTGTGCCTCCTCTGCACGGCCTCAGCCCCTCCAACGCCCTTGGCCTCGGTGACATCTACAGAGCCTCCACCACACTTTGGATGGGACATATCCCCCACAGGCGCATGTACTGAAGGTTTGGTTCTAAATTGGCAGATTCAACCACTGACAGGCATTTTTGGAGCGCCGCCCTCTGGGTACGGCATGGTCATTGCCGAAAATCACACCGGCTGTGATAACCTGCATACGGCTCTTACAGGACTGACTTTGCTGCCATCCCTCATGGAAAGTGAAGGCTCAGGAGGATCAAAGTTCTCCACCCTCCCCCAGACATGGGGGTGATTAGCAGTCGCTGGGGAGGGAGATTCATCCTCAGAAGCTGCCAACAACTTGCCTGTGAGCCTATCCGTAACCCCAATTAAACTCACTGCTCCATCAGACATGGGCAGACCGTTTCTTTGCTCTGTTGCCCTCCGGCATGAATAGAAATTGGCTTCTAGAAAAAGTCACAAACATTTGGGACCTGAACAGGGGTTGACAGAACCGAATATGGGTTTGAAAGGAACGGCCACACCCTCCCTGTTGTGTTGAGAAGGCATGTAGCTGAAGTTAAGCTGTCAAGGGTTAAGCAACCACGAGAATGAACGTGACCGTCCCTCCCGCTGTGATTTGGAAGGATAGTGCCTTCTTGCTGTCATGGTTGTGGCATTGTCCCTGCTCTGTGTGACGGCACAGAGCAACCGAGGCTGCTCCATCTGTAGGTAGAATGTCCAAGAGGAGGAGCTATGGGGTGGCCATCTTCTGTGTGTCGTGGAGTGCCACGCCTCCTTGACGGCCACATGAGAGCTGGGACATTCCCTCAATGCCTAGCTGACTAGAAAACGTACTGTGAGCTCTGAGAGTGGCATGATGGGGCAGGATGGTAAATGAGCAGGCTGTGGTGGCTGTCGCCTGCGTGAGAGAGGAGTTACAATGAGAAAAAGACAGGTGGACAGCATCCTCCACGCTCGCCTCTGAGTCAGCCGGAAACGTGGGGAAAGAGCGGGGGAGGAGCAGATAGAAGCACTGAGCACACCTTCAAGTCTGCCCTTTAACAGAAGAAGAGGAAATCTGTGATTCAGCGTGCAGTCACGGCCTTACTAATGACCCACGCAGGGAGCCTGACAGTCAGGGAACACTTTGCCTGTGAACTGCATCAAGCAGGACAGACTTTTAAATGAAAATGAGAGAGCACGGCAAAGCTGTGGGACATGTGATGGCTGTGTCTCATCCCATTGGAGAGTGGTTACCCTGCCACCGGCATGGTAGCCCTGCCAGCTGACCCACCAGTATTGGTCCAACCCCAAACTCCCCTGCTCACAAACATCAGAGTCAAATGTCCCCAGACACCCGACTTGGAGTGATGCTCAGAAGAAGGCTATAGTGTGGGGGCCTCATGGGAATAACAGTCACCAAAACCATTGGGATGGGCTGAGGGAGGCAAACCACACAGAGACACAGGTAACAGACCAGCCAGGGCCACGGGAGCGCTGGGGGTAGAGTAGACTTTTGTATTCCAAGTTAATCAGGGCTGAGCACGGCTTTGTCTATCCACTGTCCTCACCAGGAGCAGCCTTGGATTTGGATGGAATCCTGCTAACCAAACATCAGGCAACTGCAGCCCAGGAAACAGACACATAACTGAACCTGCGCCACTCAGATCCGTGAGCCTATGCTCCAGGGTCTGGTGTGCCCAGCGAGAGCCACGGAGGAAGACCAGTCACGGGACCACACTGCCATCACAGCTGAGGTGGCCCTGCCACACAAGACACAAAACCTGAAAGTAAAAAGGCAAAAAGATTACTCTGTACAAAATTTTGAGCCCTCTATTGTAAGCTGGAATATATTATGGCTCAAGGCAAAGGATGAACAATAGGCAGAGAGAAAACGCTTACACTTGTCCAAACAGGCAGGTCCATCACTCGAATGTGCAGTGTGTTCTGCAAGTCGGTAAGGCAAAGGGACAAGTGTGCTTCCTGGAATACAAAAGACATCTGTCCTTGTTCAAACCAAGATGCACACACAAAGCCACTGCGCAAGGCTGGCCCTGTCCACTCCCAGCCTGAGGAAGCTGGGGCTCCTAGGCACGGTCAGGAAGGTGGCCCATGCTGTATGGAAATAAACATAGGTTCTTCCCACCCTTAGTATGAAAATCATGCCCTACTGAGCAGCAGTCAGACCTCCGGGAGGTAGCATAGAGGATTGTCTATCACAAAGCTAAATTGAAAGTACCAAGATGCTGGGTACAGACACGCCTGGCTGTGGCGACTGCCTGTGTTAATCCAGCAAGGCACGGTGCTGCTGCTTCTGGTTCCTCCTCTCAGGACTGCTGAGGGCGCCAGGCTGCAGCACTGTGGTGAGGTGTGGGGCGTTCTGCTGCTTCAGCATGAAGTGCAGGCTGGGAATCTAAGGAATAGGAACTTATCTTTCACAGTTCTGGATGCCATGAAGCCCAGTGTTGAACAACTGCCTCTAGCGAGGGTCTCCATGCTACATGACAGCATGGAAAAGGGATTGTCATGACAGAAGAGATGAGATAAATTCAAAGACGCAGACATGGATAGAGACAGAGGTACTAAGAGAACCATGAGACAAAAGCAGATAAGCAAATACATAGGGTTGTTTTGTTGTTGTTTTTACTAGAAAGATCTATAAAAACTTGTAAACTGCCCCTTCCTCATTGCCCCGTCTCATGGGCTTGGGGATCCCTGAATCACCCTCTACATTTCAGCTGGCCTGCAGCATTCCCAAACTCTTTGTTCTCTGGGTCACACTCCTCCTGGAATGCCGGCACCATCTCCAGCCTACCTCACCACGTGTCTGCTCTGCCACTCTCCTCAGTAGCTGAGCACTGCTCTCAGAGGGCTGTCTGTCCCTGGAAAACTCAGGTGGTATTTGAACTCCCTGAGTACAAGACTGCCCCACCCCCGCCCTGTACTTCAGATGCAAGCATGGTTCTGTCAAGGGTCCTCCAAGGCTTCTTTGTCACTCTGTGACAGGAAGTAGGGAACAACAAAACAGCCCACGAGTCTAAACAATGTCCCTGAGAACAGCTAGAAGGTGAAACATCTCCAAAAGAGGTTGCTACTGTTTATCTTACAATAGTCCCCGGGTAAGAGAGAAGCCTGAAGTTCAACTGTGGGAAATGTATCTGTGGAGAGAAAACTCAATCAAAAACTCCTGCTGACTGCTTCAACTCCCCTTCTTGGTTTCTGCTGGATATCGTGAGTACTGGGCTTGGTGACGCTGTTTCTAGCTGTTGCTATTTGTTCCTTCACTTGGAAGCCTGACCTGAGGGAACTTGCCTCTTTCTGGGACTGTCAGGATCTCCAGCTGGCTTCCTGGACAGGGCTTCCCCAGGAGACTCCGGCTGTGTGCTTTGAGTGCATGGTTTAACGTTTTTCTGTCTGTAACTTGGTATTTACACTTTTGCTTGCTATATACTTAGTAAACTCACTCATTCAAAACCAAAACCAGATCACTCTCTGGACTGCACAGAACACCCGGAGCAGGTGCTGATCACCTGACCACGTGGGGAGGAGGGCAGTGTGCCCAGGTATGACCCACCACCTCCCCAGAGAGAAGGTTCCAATGCATACATATAGGTGACTGGAATGGGAGGAGAAGGCTCAGCATCTCTGTCTTCATGTCCTGCCTGCCCCTTAGTACCTTAAGTCAGCTCTACATGTGGGATGATGGTCATGGAGAAGTGCTCTGTCAGGAGCTGGCCCATCCCAAACTGCAAAGAGCAAACACTGTAGGAAGGGTGGCTGGGGGATTCCACTCCTATCAGCCTCCCCCCCCCCCCCCCCCCCCCCTCCCGTTATTGGATGGGCAAGGAAGCTTCCACCCAGTACGGCCCTGTCCCAGCTATGACTCCCTGCCCTGAAGTGCAGAAGCTGAACGCTGAGGAAAGCTCCCTCACCTTCGTCCTCTGGACTGAGTCAACCCCTTCCAGATCCCCAACGTGGGCTTTCCCATGGGTGTGCTTCCTAACCTGGGCTCTGTGACCAAAAAAAACAGGAAAGGGCGTGCAAGATGGGGGAGGCCCTGCCCTAAAAGAAGTGACTCTTCCTGCTCCTCCTCCCCTCCCTCCTCCTCTTTCTCCTGCGTTTCCTCCTCTTCTCCCTCCTCCCCTCCTTTCCTTTCCTCTTCCTCTCTTCTTCCCCTTACTTTTCTCTTCCTCCTCTTTTTCCTCTACTTCCTCCCCGCCCCTTCTCTTCTCCTTCCTTCTCTGCTTTCTCCTCCTCCCTTTCCTCTTCTCATTCTTCTTTCTTGTTTTATTTTTTATTTTGGAAATGTCTCCGTGTATATCAAGCTGGCCTCTTACTTAAAATCCTCCTACCATGGTTTCCTGAGTTTTTGAATCATGAGTCTGCACACACACACCCCACATCCTGCTGTATTATTATTATTATTATTATTATTATTATTATTATTATTATTATTAACTTCATATGGGTATATAATGACTTTTGGTCACTTAACTTCCTTTTTTTAAAAGGAAAAATTTTAAATCTGAGGAAACCAAAATGTAAACCAAATTTATTTAAAATAATAAGTTAAAATGCCTTCCTCTCAGACAGTCAGTTGTAAGACATTGAATCTGTGCACACAGGCAAAGAAACCGTCCCTGAAAGTGAAAAGGAGAATGCCCCTCGTGTAGCTGAACTGTTAATTGCTTTTCACAAACAATGTTTGTGCAGATGGCCCCATGCTCTGCCATGCTGTATGGATCACACCCACCCAGGACATTTGCCATGGCTCCGCCTTTAATCTGGACCTCGGGGCTGCGAGCGCAGCAGCTGCAGGGTCTACCGTGAGCTCTCTTCTCTGGACACCTGGGGACTCTCAGCCCTGCCTCCTCCACTCCTCTCCCCATCCCTCCCTGGCTTCTACTGCAGCTTCACACAAAGGGAGCTACATGCCCTATCCCATGTCCTGCATAAAGATCTCAACCTCAACTCTCCCAGTCCCAAACAGATGCCAGGGCCAAACCATCTGACTGCAGCAGAAATCAAGGCATTCAGTGCCAGCAAGGTCCACAGGCAAAGTCGGTTTGGAGGAACAAGCCTGAGATGAGCTAATCTCACACACAAAAGCATCTGAAGTCAAACCATCACAAGAAAATGTCAAGGGCCACAGACGGGACTCAAGGATTCCCTGCTCTGTTGGGACCAATTTCATCCCAGGACAGAAGAGAACAGGGAGAAGGACAGAACCATGCAGAAACTACTTCTTGGGCAGAGACAGAATAACCATCTGGGACACAGCAGAAAGAGAAAGAGCAAATGTGTGCCTTGGGCAACTTCCCCAGGCATAGTGAGACCTGGAGCAGCGAAGGAACAGCTGAAGGAACAGCTGAGGGAAGAGAAGACGCAGGCCAGTATGGTAGGCAGTGTCACTCTGAGGACCCAGAAATAGAGAGTTGCATCCTAGTGGCTCAGGACTCACTGCAGAGGTGCACAAGGCAAGGAGGTGGCCCTGGGAAAAACAAACAGGAAATGTACACAAGTGACCAGCACAAGGAGCGAGGCTTCGAGTCCCACAAGAGGCAATAAATCAAAGATTTGGGGAGACACTGAAGTCCTTCTCCTCCCAACACCATCACCAGGAAAAGAGACATGAAAAGAGCAATGAGGAAAGAGGGGTGGCTCAGCCCCCAGACAAAATAGAAGGCCAAAAAGTTGGCTTTAAACAAAAAAGAGACTTGAATGCAAAAGGCTAGTTGCCCACCCAAGATAAAGTAGTTATGTAGCAGTAACTCAGCCATGACAACCAGTGCGGGGAGCCAGCGGGTGCACGACTTCCAGCCTGCTCCTGAAGGCTGGTCCTGAAGGGTCCAGAATGGCAGTGCTCCCGCCCTTCAGGGCAAGGCCAGGGGTGGAGTTGGGGTACAAGAGATTATGAAGGGGCCCCTCCAAACACCTGCACCTGACAAAAGTCTCAAAAACCCTCCTGGAGGCTCTTAGCAAAGATTACTCACTGGGGTGTTGGTGTGCATGGAAGCAGCCGGCCCTGAGGCCGCCCGGCCCCGCCACTCACTGCCTGCCACAGCCCAGGAAGAAGGTGGCCTTGAGCACATGCACCCATGGCTGCTGGCTAACTGCTCTCACTGAAGCCAAGCAACACATTTCTCCAGAAAGAGAGATCTGAGTGGCGCCACCAAACTGCCAGGAAGGACAAAAGATCTAAACAGCAGCGAGAAGGACAGAGCCCAGGGCTGTGGAGTTCACACCCATCCCCACACACGCCTCAGCCTGGCGTGGAGGTGGGGCAACTGCATCCTCTCAAGCATGCGCACAGCCGTGATGAAAGTCAATTTCCTAAAGGATCACAGGAGACAGCACATTCTGTAAAGCAGAGACATCACAATCAACAGTCCCTGCTCAGAGATGATAACATTGAAAGTTACTGATAAAACAAAAAAGCAAAACTTCCGATACTGAAATCCACTGAATAACTGTCAGATGAGGAGAGTTACAAACTCAATCACAGTGTTTCCTTTTTTAAAAATAAAGTGATGCTGGGAGCTGGAGAGATCCTGCTCTTGCAGGTCCCGGCATCCACACGGCAGCTGTAACTGCAGATCCAAGGGCTCCAGCATCCTCTTCTGGCCTCCATGAACATCAGGAAGGCACATGGGGCAGACATACATGCAAGCAAAACACTCAGACACATAACTGGTGATGATGATGGTGATGGTGATGATGGTGGTGGTAATGGTGATGGTGATGATGATGATGATGGTGATGGTGATGATGATGGTGGTAATGGTGATGGTGATGATGATGGTGGTGGTAATGGTGATGGGGATGATGGTGATGATGATGGTGATGATGGTGATGGTGATGATGATGGTGATGATGGTGATGGTGATGATAGTGATGGGGATGATGGGGATGGTGATGATGGGAATGGTGGGGATGGTGGGGATGGTGGGGATGGGATGGGGATGGTGGGGATGGTGGGGATG